CTTCTAGATTACTAGCAACCAGCCTGAGGGGAAACTGTCATATTTGTCATTGGTAGATCAGCTATGTGCCAAATCTCCAAACAAGCAAAATTCTGCAGCTCATTTCTAGTGGTAACCCTCTCTACCACACAAACTAGCTTGTGGATGTTTGGAAGAAGCCATGTAAGATAAAGAGGGGGAGAAGAATAAAGCAGTTTCTCAAGAGAGACCACTAAGCCTTGAGGGGAGCATGTAAACTCACTTACATTTAAAGATACAGTTGCAAGAAAAAGTATGTGAACCCCTTGGGATTACGTGGAGTTTTGCATGAATTGGGCATAAAATGTGCTCTGAACGTCATCTAAGTCACAATAGAAGAACACAGTCTGCTGAACATAATACTACACAAACATTAGATGTTGCCATGGTTTAATTGCACATAACATGTAAACATTCACAGAGCAGGGAGGAAAAAGTATGTGAACCTTTGGACTTAATAACTGGTTGACCCTCCTTTGGCAGCAATAACCTCAACCAAACGTTTCCTGTAGTTGCAGATCAGACCTGCACAACGATCTGGAGTAATTTTGGACCACTCCTCTTCACAAAACTGTTTCAGTGTAGCAATATTCTTGGGATGTCTGGTGTGAATCGCTCTCTTAAGGTCATGCCACAGCATTTTAATTGGGTTGAGGTCAGGACTCTGACTGGGCCTCTCCAGAAGGCGTATTCTGTGCTGTTGCAGCCATTGTTTTATTGAATTACTTGTATGCTTTGGGTCATTGTCCTGTTGCATCACCCATCCTCTGCGGAGCTTCAGTTGGCGGACAGATGGTCATACGTTTTCCTGCAAAATGTCTTTATAAACTCTGGAATTCATTTTCCCACCAATGACAACAATCTGTCCAGGCCCTGAGGCAGCAAAGCAGCCCCAAACTATGATGCTCCCTCTGCCATGTTTTACAGTGGGGATGAGGTTTTGATGTTGGTGTGCTGTGCCTTTTTTTTTCCACACATATTGTTGTGTGTTCTTCCCAAACAACTCAATCTTGGTTTCATCTGTCCACAGTATATTTTGCCAGTAGTGCTGTGGAACATCCAGGTGCTCTTTTGCAAACTTCAAACGTGCTGCAATATTCTTTTTGGACAGCAATGGCTTCCTCCGTGGTGTCCTCCCATGTACTCCATTCTTGTTTAATGTTTTCCTTATTGTAGATGTGTCAAAAAAAATGTTAGCATGTGCCAGAGATTTCTGTAGGTCTTTAGCTGACACTCTGCGATTCTTCTTTACCTCATGCAGCATTCTGCGCTGTGCTCTTGCAGTCATTTTTACAGGACGACCATGCCTAGGGAGAGTAGCAACAGTGCTAAACCTTCTCCATTTGTAGACAGTGTCTTACCATGGACACATGAACATTAAGGCTTTTGGAGATACTTTTGTAACCCTTTCCAGCTTCATGCAAGTCAACAATTCTTCATCGTAGGTCTTCTGAGAGCTCTTTTCTGCGAGGCATGATTCACATCAGACAGTGCTTCTTGAAATCAGTAAACCCAAAACAAGTGTGTGTTTTTTAAGGGCAGGACAGCTGTCAGCAACACATCCAAAATTATCACACTGATTGGAGTCAAGGTTGGCTCACTCCTGGCTCCAATTAGCTCTGGGAGAAGTCATTAAGCTAGGGCCTCACATACTTTTTCCTCCCTGCACTGTGAATGTTTACATGTTATGTGCAATTAAACCATGGCAACATCTAATGTTTGTGTAGTATTATGTTCTTCTATTTTTGTGACTTAGATGACGTTCAGAGCACATTTTATGCCCAATTCATGCAAAACTCCACGTAATCCCAAGGGGTTCACGTACTTTTTCTTGCAACTGTATCTTTTGTTCCAATGGTCCTAAAAAGAAGAGTGAAGTTGCCATATCATTAATATTCCATGCCAGGAGTGGACAATTTGTACAGTTACCCAACAAAATCTGAAAAGGTATTGCTATGTTATATCAGCTTTTACAAGCAAAAACTTGGGAATATTTCTATAAACACATTTCCAAATCTAGGTGCATTTCTGTGCCAATTCCCATAGAATCTCTACAATTATTGATTCCAGAGTTCTCAACAACCTTATGGAAAACTAAAGGAATAAACACACTTGACAATCAATATTGGGAAGGCACATACATGCCCAACAAGGCTTCACAGTTATTTTTAATTCCAGACTCTGAAATCTTAACCCATGCCAAATTAATTTCATACTTGCTACTACTAAAGTCACCTTTCATTAATTTTCCACACCAGGAGTGGACATTTTGGACAGTTACCCAACAAAATCTGAAAGGTATATCTATGTTATATCAGCTCTTACAAGCGAAAAACTAAGTTTGCCAAAACTCCACCACCTCATAGATGGGAAGCTGAACTTCAAACCAATTTCACAGGCAAACAATGGCAGACAGTCACAATAAATAACTACACTCATACTAAATGTTCATCTTTTTGGAAAGCGGCACTGAAACATCTCCTTAGATGGTATATTACGTCTTATATATTGTCTAAATTTCCAAGTTCTAATTCTAACTCATGTTGGAAAGGATTTGGACAAGTGGGTACCCTGCTCCATATGAAATTGAGTTGTGTACATCTACAAAGCTTTTGGTCCTTGGTTTTCAAATTGATTTCTTAGGCTTAACACAATATTTTGCCTAAACACCCTATTTAGTTGAGTTAGCAATCCTTACCATTAACCTAGATCATATCCCTAAACAACTCCACAATATAACAATACAGATCATTTTTGCAGTCCGCCTATGTATTTTGAGAAGATGGAAAACTCCTGATGTACCAACTACATCTGATGTTGATCTAGCCCAGCAATGGGCAAACTACGGCCCGCGGACCGTATACGGCCCCGGCGGACCTTTTAATCTGGCCCGCGGAGCTAGGCTCCCGCTAGGCTCCTCTCACAGTTCGCCCTGAAGACCGGGTGTAGCATGAAAATCTGTCTCCTATGAGGATCTGTCCCCCTCGCGCACGTATCGCCGGATCGGCATCATGTACAGTAGACGTGTATTGACACCGTCTAGAGGAGCCTCGCACGCCTTGACGTATACTGCGCCGGGTCAGGAGGTCCGGCGGCCCACCTTTGGTATTCACTGGTCAGTGTAAGAATCTCTTTTTCAAGCTGCTTATACTGCACATGCAGCATGATTTTGTCGATGGTTTACAGATCCTCATAAATAATTTTTCATGCTACACCATGAACGGCGCGGGAAAATGGCGAGAGTTCCCAACGCGCCCCAGCAAAGGTAAGTGAATTGACACAGGGGTGTGATCCGACTTGGCCAGATCTTAATTGGGGGATGAATTAATATGGGTACTATGAATTACATATAGGGGGGATGAACCTTACTATATGGGGGGGGATTAAGATTGCTTCTGGGGGCATGAATTACTATTCCTGGGGGATTGAATTATCTATAGGGGGGATGAAGTTACCCATCACTGATGAATTATCATCTTCAATTTTATATGGGGGACCGCATATATGGGGATGAATTACTCATATGGGGGATGAATTACTATGGGGCTGCACTTTATGAATTACTATGGGGGATGAATTACTATATGGGGGATGAATTACTATAGGGGATTTTCATTACTATAGGGGGGATGAATTACTATGGGAGATGAATTACTATAGGGGGGATGAATTACTACAGGGGGGACTTGAATTACTATATGGGGGATGAATTACTATATGGGGGATGAATTACTATAGGGGGATGAATTACTATAGGGGGGATGAATTACTATGGGGGATGAATTACTATAGGGGGGATGAATTACTATATGGGGAATGAATTACTATAGGGGGATGAATTATTATAGGGGGGATGAATTACTATGGGGGATGAATTACTATATGGGGGATGAATTACTATGGGGGATGAATTACTATATGGGGGATGAATTACTATGGGGGATGAATTACTATATGGGGGATGAATTACTATATGGGGGATGAATTACTATATGGGGGATGAATTACTATGGGGGATGAATTACTATAGGGGGATGAATTACTATGGGGGATGAATTACTATAGGGGGGATGAATTACTATATGGGGGATGAATTACTATATGGGGGGATGAATTACTATGGGGATGAATTACTATATGGGGGATGAATTACTATAGGGGGGATGAATTACTATGGGGATGAATTACTATATGGGGGGTGAATTACTATGGGGGATGAATTACTATATGGGGGATGAATTACTATGGGGGATGAATTACTATGGGGGATGAATTACTATGGGGGATGAATTACTATATGGGGGGTGAATTACTATGGGGGATGAATTACTCTATGGGGGATGAATTACTATATGGGGGATGAATTACTATGGGGGATGAATTACTATATGGGGGATTAATTACTATGCTTACTATGGGGGAATATTACTATACTTACTATGGATGACACATACACATCATTCATCTACTCTTGGTCCGGCCCCCGGGTCCAATATATGAACCCATTGCGGCCTCAAGTCAAAAAGTTTGCCCACCCCTGATCTAGCCTATGGGTATGAAAAAATAATGACATATAAAAATGATAGGGCAGCACATTTCCTGCAGAACTGGAACTTATGGCGTCTTTATAGAAAATTGGATGTTTGAATTCTTATGATTAGTTATTTAACTAATAACTACTTACTGACAATCTGTATTACTTGGAACTGTTAACCAGCTTTACAGTTTACATATTAACTACCTGCCGACCGCAGATAGCCGAAATGACGGCTGCACTGCGGCCGGCCAGTTCTGAGTGGACGTCATATGACGTCCTCCCAGAACGCGCTCTCCTGCGCGCCCCAGGGGGCGCGCATCCCGGCGATCTCCGTGATCGCTGTGTCCTACGGACACAGCTGATCACGTGATGTGGTAAAAGGCCAATCACAGCGGCCTTTTACCACGTGATCAGCGGTGTCCAATGACACGCTGATCAGAGGGAAATGCAAGTGCCGGTTCTCGGCTGCACTTTCCTCACGCTGTCAGATCGTGAGGAAAGTACTGCCAAGAACCGGCAGTTGTCAGAGTGGGGATCGGCACCGATCATCAGGGCACTGATGATCAGTGCCCTGATGATCGGTGCCCAGCAGTGCCACCCGCAAGTTCTGCCCACCTGTGCCCAGCAGTGCGCCCACTAGCTCCGCCCACTTGTGCCCAGCAGATCACCCACCTGTGCCCAGCAGTGCGCCCACTAGCTCCGCCCACTTGTGCCCAGCAGATCACCCACCTGTGCCCAGCAGTGCACCCACCTGTGCCCAGCGCTCTCTGCAGTGTCACACACCTGTGCCCAGAAGTGCCACCTACCTGTGCCCAGCAGTGCCACCCACCTGTGCCCACCCACCTGTGCCCACCAGTGCCACCCACCTGTGCCCACCCACCAGTGCTGCCCACCAGTGCCACCCACCAGTGCATCCCAGCAGTGCTGCCAGTCAGTGCCACCAGTCAGTGCCCAGGGGTTGTGCCAGTCAGTGCCGCCAGTCAGTGCCCAGCAGTGATGCCAGTCAGTGCCATCTATCAGTACCCATCATCAGTGTCACCTATCAGTGCCACCTATCAGTGCTGCATATTAGTGCCGCCTATCCGTGACACCTCATTAGTGCTGTCTATCAGTGCCGCCTATCCGTGCCACCTCATTAGTACTGCCTATCAGTGCCCTTTAGTGCTGCCTATCAGTGCCCATCAGTGCCGCCTATCAGTGCCCATCAGTGCCGCCTCATCAACGCACATCAGTGAAGGAGAAAAAGTACCTGTTTGAAAAATTTTATAATAGAAACAAAGAAACTTTTTTTTTTTTCAAATTTTTTGCAATTTTTTATTTATAGCGCAAAAAGTAAAGTGCCTAGTGGCGATTAAATACCACCAAAAGAAAGCTCTATTTGTGAGAAAAAAATGATCAAAATTTCATATGGGTACAATGTTGCATGACCGCGCAATTGTCAATCAAAGTGCGGCAGCGCTGAAAGCTGAAAATTGGCCTGGTAAATAAGGGGGTATAAGTGCCTGGTAGGCAAGTGGTTAATTGTACTTTAATGGCACTCATTTTTGTAATAAGTGTGTGTTCTAACACCTTCTGCACACTTCTTTGTATTAAGATGAAAATACTAATAAAAATATTTGGGGAAAAAATGATCATGCCCCTTTACCAATTGAAGGCCTGGTTTTTACCCATGAATAGACTTTAGGTATCTATAGAACAAGCTATGATAGCTTATTGAGATCTGCAATCTTTAACATTTATGAAATCCCCCTCTATGATAACAACCAAGTTTCCTTCTATGGTAGCCTCTCTGGAAGCCTGGGCCTTTGTGTTCAATCATCCCACCCTTACCGAACCTAAATTAAGCTTAGATATCCTGCTCCAAGTATACTGTTATAAAAAATGTTTACAATAAACCATGGATAGAGGCAGGGTGCTTTACTTTAAAAGATCTCACATCTGAAAAGGCAGAGAAAAATGTTTACACCTTCTTACAAATCCAAAATTTACATTTTAAAAACCATTTACAGTATATATTAATAGACTTTGGTGCTATCTGAACACACAAATCCCATGTAAAGGAGGTATATCCTGGTTCTATAATTACCTGCGATACAATTCTCTAAATCATCCTATATGTTAAAGTGGGTGGCTGACTTTGGTAAGTCCTTCTTGGAAGAGGAGTGGCAACATGCTTTGTCCAATAATATCAGCGTCATGAGTTGTGTTAATCATTGGGGTAATGTTCTTAAACTCTTGTACAGAAGATAGTTTATGTCATATAAACTATCCAAAATGCATCGCCGTTATGCTGCGCCAGTGTGGACATGTTGTAATCTGTTACATGTATTTTGGGAATGTGTAAATTTATACGTAGCTTTTGGAATGCAGTTTTTGTCCCTTATCTCTCAAGTAACAGGTATTCTTACCTCCCCAATGCCTCACCTGGCTTTATTAAGCCTTCACATGGATGCTTTCCCAATTTAGAACAGTAGTCTCAGACATCTCAATTGCTGCCAGGTTGGCAATAGCCAACTACTAGAAATCCACTAAATCACTTATATTATAGATTTTATGCGTAGAACTAATACTCATCACCTCTATAACCAGTCCCTAGGCTTTACCAACCATGGCTTGCAAGCTTTCAATGTCAAATGGGTCAATTGGGATCTTATATTTAAATTGTCAGAGCTATATTATGCTATCTGATCAACATGGTCTTTAATGGATGCACATACAAATAGAGAATATTGGTGCTTACTGTTATTGCTGGCTTTTCTCTTTAATTTTGTTTCCTTGTTCTAGGCAGGTTTCCTGCCTCACTACTTCTTTTTTTAATATATTTTTTATTATTGTTTCTTACAAAACCAACATAACATTTAATACATAATTATCAATCATTTATTACAATTTTCCAAAAATAATCCTCCTTCCCACCCCCATTCCCTCCCATATTTCTTTGACTAGTAGTTTTTCCTCTCTCCTACTATCTGGCATTAACACCATTAAATGTTCTTATCTTTATATCAGCATATCTCTTCTACATCTCATTCTTCCTTATTCTTCTACACCATCAGAGTCTGCAAATATCTGGGTAGTTTTAAACTCACACCATCTTTCCCATATTTTTTGAATTTACCCATTTTATCTTCTACGTTGTGGTAAAGTTCTTCCTTCCTGCATATATATTCTACCCTCTTTATCCAATCCTTTAGTTTAAGGGTCTCTTGGGCCTTCCATAATTTAGAGATCAACCCTTTTGCCACATTAATTGAGGTATCATTGTGCTCTTATATTGTTTCACTGCAAAATCAGTATGATGGAATAAACACACTCATGGATCTTTTATTATACCGTCTCTCGTGATCTCAACTATTTGTTGTGTTATCTCCTGCCAAAATTCCTGTATTTTGGGACAATCCTACAATATGTGTACTATTGTACCTTCCATCCCAAAACCTCACCAACAATACAAGGAGTTCTCTGGATGTTGCTTGTGAGCTCTACTGGGGGTAACATACCATTTTGCTAAAAATGTATAATTCATCTGTGCTGTATTCATATCGATTGCCCCATGTGCAATTCTAAATATTCTCCTTCTCTGTTGCTCACTTAACTGCATTCTCAAACTCTTTTTCCCATTTACCCATGTACGCTGGAAGTGCCAGTTCAGATATAGTTGTCAATATCTTATAAATACATGAAGTACCTTGTTATTATATTCCATCTGAGTTTAACAATTGCTCAAATGGGTTCATATTTTTAACTCCTCTCAATGGCTGTGGAAGCGATGCTACAAAATGTCTTAATTGACGCTACCACCAACCTTCTAACACATAAAATGTATCCTTTTTGTTTCAATTCTTGTAAACTACCTATTTCCCTATCTTTCATAATATCCTTTAACTGTACATTCCTTTCTTTATTCCAAGCTCCTGCTGTAGTGCTCTTGCCCGGTGGGAAAAAAATTTGTTCCCTTCAGTGGTATTAGTGGTGAATTAAGCCCCCATCCAATTTGTTTATGAATTAAATTCGATATCCTAAATACTAATGAAGAATAAAACTCATTTGTTCAAAGGGGGAGGCGCCTGAACTTGATGCTGGCCGGCAGAGTGTGTTAGGAGCTTTGTGACCCGCCGGTAGATGCGGAGACATATGCGAGAGAACATACCTCTTGAACTTGGAGTGGGGGACCAGCGCTATCTCTGATTGTTGGGGTCCTTTCGGCCTGCCCAGAGTTCTGCCTTGTAGAGTGGGATGGTGTGAGGATCAGAGCGGAGGGGATGGAGGCTGCAGAGGAAGCTGTGGATAGAGAGAGGTACCACGCAGACACTTGGGAGGTGCACGGCTGAGCGGAGAAGGGAAAGGAAAGCCCTCTGGAGGTCACCCCTGGTCACCCCATACCCCACAGCTGAATGAGGACTGGAGTAAGACGCTGCACAGGACGTTTAGATTGCTATATGGGCTGAAGAAAGAAATTTGCCAACTGTAAAATGGAGAATGCTGAGTGCCCATAATTAAACAAGCATTCAGTGTTTAGCGAAAGTGATGTAGGAAGACACAGTGGCTGATGGATGCAGTACCCAGAGAAGTTATAAAGTGGGGAGGAGACACAGGGGGTTACCCAGCGGGCATAAAAGTAAGAACATTTAGAAGAAGGAGTCGGTTAACCCATGGAGGAGTGCAGACATTTGAAAGTATAATGTATTAGGTACTAAGGAGGAAAAGCAAGAAGCAATATAAGATTGGGTCTCTGATGGGACGATAGTGTGGAAAAAAGGTTAGAGGCCCAGATCTATCTATCTATCTATCTATCTATCTATCTATCTATCTATCTATCCATCTATTTGACTATCTTTATAGCTGCACAATCCCATGCATATTAAAAATAGAGAAGGGATAAGAATAAGAACATACTCCAAGAAACAAAAGAAAGTAATATGAAGAGCAGATCGGTGAAAGGAGGAGGGGTAAAGTACAATTAAAAAATATAAGAGAAAAGCCCTCTATTGAAAACAATAGTGGAGATCAATCCAGACTGTCATTGGAAACATCTGATCTGAATCAATGTAGAGGAGTTCTCAATGTAGAATGTTTGAGGGACAAAAGAAACACGGAAGAACAAACAGGAAGTTTACAAATACTTACAAAGATGGAAATGGCAGATATGTCTGCGAAATTAGAACTTTCAATAAAAAATGATATGGCAATATTGCATAAGGATTTAGGTCTTGCCCCGAGTGGAAGAGACGGAATATAAATTGGATAACACGCTTAAGTAATAACTGAGTTAGAGGGGCAAATGGAAGATATGAGAAGTGAACAAAGGAAACTGTTATATAAGATAGTATATCAGGAGAATAGAAATAGAAAGAACAACTTGAAGATCTGGGGGTTACCAGTAATGTCCCAGGGAGAAGATTTAAGAACGATATTGAATAAGTTCCTAAACTCAATATTAGGTAGGCTGATCTATAACAGAGCAATTGAAAATGGACAGAGTTCATAGGATAGGAAGACCCCAAGGAGTGAACACAGAAACACCTAGGGATGTGATAGTGCGATTCCACTATTTTGAAGATAAAAAGATTAAAGATTTTGGAGAAAATAAAAGGGATACCCTCAGTAAGATATGAAGGAGTGACTTTGCAAATATATGCAGATATAGCACTGGAAACACTAGCAAGAAGGAGATTCTTGAGACCATTGCTGAAAGAGATGTAGAAAAAAAGTAACTGCTGCAGTTGGGGTTTCACAGAATGCTTAGTGGGATGGAAAGATGGATGTTCAACTAGTCTGAGGTTCCCAGAAGATCTACAGGATTTCTGTGAAAGATTAGAACTGCAAATACCAGGAATGCCAGGGTGGACAGATGAGATTAAGGAGAAAAGGGAACTGGAAGAAGAGAGATGGTAACTAATCTTCAAAAACAGAGATGGTAATAGAGATATGAGGAGTGGAATAAGATGATACCTTCAAAGAAGCTATATTGCTGGGATTCGTTAATTAGGGGGACTCAAATAAGAACTTAATTTAGAACTC